AACCCAAAATATATTTATCAAAACTAATACCTTTGTTTCCACAGTCTCTACAAATAAGCAAGTCTTCAGGTTGTCCYTTTTTATTGCATTCTGATGTCTGAAGGCAAAAGTCACATACAGGTTCAGTTGTGCAGACTTCCCTCTCTGGGCTCTGAAACAACCAACATTTCAATAGAAAGACAATAATAAAGATACCTGTAGCCAGTAAACTGTGGCCAATGACTACTAGAACAGTTTTAGCGTGATTGTGAAAAGCACAGTGCCATAAGTGTGCTGTGCAGTGACTGTGATGTTTTCTAGAATTTCTCTTGGGGGATTTTTTTCTTGCACAATGTGATTGGTCTGGCAGCTATAAAGGGCCATGACATTGGCGTGACAACACTGTGTTCATGCCATGTTTCAGGCATTTGATTGGCTGGAGATTAACTTCTCATGCAATGTGACTGGGCTGGCTTATGCCTTGTTGTGTCACAACTGTGAGTTTAGAGTGAGCTTTTCACAGTCATACAAAAACTGCTCTAATGTGAATACACAGGTAAATATATTGTCTGAATGTCACCTAAACAGGTGGTTTTAGCCTGAAGCTTGCTTTATTTAACCATGTGTTAATCCCTTGAATATGGTTTTTAGGTTTGCAGGTTAAGCCTAGGCCTGATTTTTACTTCTATGGAATCCGAATCAAAATCAATTCAAGCGTRAAATTACAAGTTAAAAATGCTCATCACAAGCCAAGCAAACCTCCTAATCGTATTCTGATGCACTTCTGACACCCATTCTGACTCTGGTTTTCTAGTCATAAGTTGTTTCTGACTTTGATTTCCTTGCGAAAACCAGACTTAAGAATATTACTCAAACAAATAATATCATTCTCTATGGGATGAACCAAGGTTAACCAAAAACCATTACAAACAAGCTGAAAAGTCTTTCAAATCATTTTTTTTGTTTAAGATGGCTAATATAATTAGGCTAATTGCTTCCATGAAAACTCAAAAAAAAGTCCACTGTTTAGATTGAATAACCTTCAAATGGCAGAAAAAAGGTTGCAACTTCRAATTGGAATGCTGGTCTAGTCTACAGGATTGCGAATACTCAGGAAATCAATCAAATTTAGCAGTCAATATGTGTAAGTCGCAATGAAAAAAACACACCTCACCCCTTTTTTAGGRTAATTGTGCTATTTTGCTTGTTTGATTGCTCTCAGTCCCCCATATTTCATTTTGTACTGCTGCCACTGCTCTATWAAGTGGCCAACCTTTAGCTTTATTTAGCAATCACTCAAATGTTCCCCAAGGGTGGCCGCTTCACAGAGGTACCTTCTGTATGTGCTTTCATATACACGGCGTCAAAGATCATGTGACCTCCGAGTATACCTTCAAAGTCTGATACAAGCCACCCATCCCCCCTAAAAMACATAAAAGATATTTTCCCAACAAGTTGGTATGTTTTTAAGAAGTTAAGGCAATAATGCTTTTTTACATGCTTTAACGGAGACAGTTGGTTGGAATTATCTGGACATGCTGATATGCGATGTGGTGCGGTCTGTAAGGCAATGAACACAATAATGATCTGTATATTTGTGTATACATTCATGATATAATTCTCGTAGACATATCGGTACCACAGCAATATCAACACCCCCTAACAAAATGTTTTAACTTAAAAAGCTAAACTTGTAGTATGAATTGATTTCTTGAATAAAACGTATTCATACCTTCTAAAGCAAAAAATACATAGTAAATACCATCACACTAATAATACTTTAAGTAAGTATAAGCCAATGGAATATTCAACAAATTTCGTGAATATAAAAACACTCAAATGAACAAGCCCATCAGAAGACTTGCATTTGATTGTTTGTCTAGCTTCTCATACCTCGGCTGACTCTAAAAGTCGATATCGTCCTTCCCCAACCATCCAGAGTTTACCATTTTCGACATCACCATTAACAGCTTGTTTAATCCGTGGTTTGATATTGCTATAATATGGATGTTTTTCTTCGACATATCGTTCAACATCGTGTGTACTAACACCGTTCCCTCGGTCAAGGACGCGTATTGCTTCTGTGACCCATCTACCGGCTCTAGAAGTACGACCCGGCCCGTGTGTTTTACTCCAACCCGCGGAATTTCTATAAGATATAGCGCCTTTGAATGACCTTCTKGTGACTATTTTGGCTTCTACAAGAGCTCGCAGGTCTTCTTCGGTTTCTTTTTCCGAAACTCCGTGACATTTTAGCATAGTACGGCATATTCTCTCGAGGTCGGGTCTTGATTTTCGACTCCTCAACAGATTTATGCATTCCAAGATCCAGTTCATGTACTTAGGACGCTTTTCTTCGGCCATTTTCGYTATTTCAACTTTCTGTAGACGTGTTATTGGGCTTTAAGTAAGTCACTTGTTCATGTTAAAACTGCAAAAAAAAAAGACGCTTATTTCCCCGTCGTGTTTTGCATGACTAAACATCCTTCAGCAAAGAGAAAACGGAATCTYTCGCACTTTTCCGGAATCCCAGCGTGCACCCTCCGATAACCTCCGAAAATATAGCGAAAATTGATTGACTATTATCCGAACCCGATAACTGCACGACAATAGGCGATTAGTCTCGAAACATTTACGAAAAGTCTCCGAATAGTATTCAGCGGATGATCGTTGAAAGAAATGCCTGGTCAAATTACAATAATTTACTTTCGAAAATGGCGGCTGAATGGAATTTATGAGTTTGTTTTCGTTAGCATTTCTTCATTCTGTACTACTTGGATTCCTTTTTTCGGGGAAAGGAGCACTGCATGTTGTAGACGAGGCTATTGAGACTTCCACTGTTCAGAAATGAGGCTTATTATTCCAGTTTCTTTCATATTTTTTGAGCTTCAAGGAAAGGGAAGCCTGATCAACATTTCAGACGTGGAGATTCAACCTTGTTGTCAAATGCCGAGTTCTTCCGGGATGTGGTAACGAAATTCCCCGCAATGTCAATCGCGAATATTTGATATTAAATTTAAGCAATGGAAAAAGAAGCTAGTAAAGAGGATAAAGATAAGTGTACAGAAGCAGAGATGGAGAAATCTTTTGTAAACAACCAAGATGTCAAAATTGGATCTGAAGGGACACGAAGTGGATCCAGTCAATCACAGCCTAAAAATGACGTTCCTAACACAAAGGTAATCATCTAAATCGATGTGTATGGTCTAAAATTGTTTATTGATCTTATTATTTAAATAATTACGTACCAAACATGCGTTTTTGAGCGGTTAGACTAATTTTAAAAATCATTGCAATGTCAGTCAAATCTCTCAAATGTTTCCTATGTCATGTAATCTGTCGAGCATCAAATGTAATTAATATTTTTTTTGCGAAAGATATTACGCTTCAACTTTTAGAATAAAGCAAAATAATTTTTGAAGCAATCATAAAATAATTTAGATTATGTTAAGGTATGAGAATTCTAGATTTTGTATGATTATGTTTTTCTCTTTCTTTACATTGGATCTTTACATTTTTTTAAAATATTTTAGCAGCCTAAAGTTTCTGAGGCGATGATTAAAGATTTAGAAGAGCAGAACTTCATAAAACTGGTATCAAAATTGAAGGTAAGGGGGAAACAATATTTATTAAAAAATAATGTCACACAAGTATACAAGTTTTACTTTAAAGTAAACCACTGGAGTGATTAGAAGAGGATTTGTTAATAAGGGTGCAGATAACTAACTAGTGATACTGGTATTATAGGGTGGTATGAAAGGGGATACCAGATACTGGATAATATAGATACCACATGATACTGGGTCACATAGGGCTTAATACATTAAATGGCTGGTCATTGGACAATGTCCTGCCAGAATTGGAACTTATCTGGTCAAATCTTTGCTTTGCTGGTAATTTTGGCCGGTAATGTTAAACCAGAAATGACTGACTTACTGACAGTTATTTTAAGCCATGGTCACATCAATGGAGATCCAGACACTGTATAAATTAGGGTAGTTTAGAGGCCAACAGAACTACCTAATGATCACAATTTAAGGCATTTTTCCACTTATATTTAGTGTCCTGAAAAATATGGAAACAATCAGTTTTATTGTGAAGTCTGCAATAATTTAGTGGAAAAGATGCAGGATGTGAAAAACCACATATCTGGCAAGGGACATAGGAAGAATAAAAAGGTACTTTGATATGCTTAATTTTGGGCACCCTGTGGAGCTTGACCACAGGAAGACCATACATGTAAAAAGTAATGTTTTTGTTTATTAAGACTAAAGGGCCAGTGTTAATAATGAAGAGAATTGATCAGCCCTCACCTAAACATATTGAAGCCTTGGAGACAATGTTAGAGTCTGTGATTCAAGAGTATGGTCTAGACCCTGACAAAGACTTGAATGTCAGATTACAAGTTAAAGATGAAATACAAGAGATTGTGCAGTCTCATATATCAGGTACTATTTTTATATATTCACCTTGCTACATGCTCTGATTGGCCGAGAACTGTGTCGTATTGAAGTATGAAGCATGGTGCTGACATAATATGTGTATGGCTTGTGCTTCTCTTTCCATTTCTTTCATGCATTCGTCACTCACTGCATGCTATATTAGTGAACAATGCATGGGAAAAGGAGTTTTTATTATTTCTTAATAATAAGTAAAGCATGAAGATTTCTTTTTGTCATGGCATTGATACTGTATATGCATTACCTTTCAAATCAGCCCACCTAATTTAGATGCTCAGTTACCATAAACACTTTCTTCTTCTGATGGGTGTATATATGAACAAGATCATTGTTATTCAGTAGTTTATACTGTACTGTCATTAAGTATTCCACATATTATATACATCTCTACAGGTAGCTACTTGACTCTCTATGGATCTTCACTAACATGTTTTGGATTCAAGACTAGTGATGTTAACTTGGACCTGACTCTTCCTGAAGAAGTAAGACTTGTGTACTCTGAAGTCCATGTGTATTGTTGATCTATTTTAACCTATAAAATTGTCTGTGTAGTTGGATCTGTTTTTCTCATTCCAAACCCTTAAAACGATCAAAATGAGTCTCTTGAAATGACTGAGGCTCTTAAGATTATCTTTGATCTTGATATTTCTTATTTGAATTTATTTCATTTTTTTACTTCCCAGATTACAGTACCTCAGGGCCTCATCAAGCTGTTCGACATCCTTGAAAAAAATGGTATAGCTAATATGAACATGCAGAAATAAATTAATTTACATAATGAGATATTGTTCTAATCGTAAACCATGACTGACAATAATAAAATTGTTTCCTGTTTTGTTCTAGATCTATGTATTAATGTTAAAGATGAATTTGATTTGAATGTGCCTCAAATATCTTTTATCCATAAAAAGACGTAAGTAATTACGACATTGTTTTTACCTAACTGTCAAATATATTGTTARTGTGCAGCAAATAGTCAAGAAACCTCTTGTCATGCAAAATTCTTGCATTGTTCATGTGCTACACTCTACTGTAACTGCTGTGAAACACATCTACAGACGTTTTTGGAACTTAGCAAAAACTTAGCTTGGGGATAAACAACAACATGATAAAGCRTAATGAACGAAGGATTTTGTGACCAGGCAAGATCAGGGCTTCTCCCTTTAATAACTTTCCATTATTTTAAGTTAACAAATTTATGACTAATTTATTTCTCTATTATTATTCATAAATATTTTATTTCTTTAATATTATTTACTTTAATTTGGATTTTAGTGGTTTAACTTGCCATCTCAGTTGTGGAAGTAAAATGGTAAGGCACTCAATATATAATCTGAGAATATGTGAACCGCGTAGCACTTATGAAATACAAGATATAGAAATATAGATAAGTTATAGTGCTTGGGAACGAGGTTATTCCGGGAGAAAGACCCTTGGAAATAAATTCAGAAAAATTAATTTCCAACCTCGCTTAACATCTATTTCACCCCGGCCTGCTCTTAGTCTGACCTCTAGCTCAGCTGGTAGAGCATTGGTAGTACAATTCCAAAAGTCGTGGGTTCGATTCCCAGCGAGGTCGAAAATTAATTTTTCCGAATTTATTTCCAAGGGTCTTTCGCGCGGAATAATCTCATTCCCAAGCACTATAACTTATCTATATTTCTATATCAATATATAATTTGTGGTCCTAAGAGTATTAAAACTCAGCTAATTCAACTTGAATTTCTATTTTTCTAATGCAGGTTTGTAAGACTTCTGAACTGCTAAAAAAATATGGAGAAATCAACCCTGTTGTGAGGAAACTGGTTGTTGGTTTTAGGTTCTGGGCACAGGTAAGGTGCTGTTTCCTATACTACCAGTAATGTCTTTTTCTGTCTGTACATCTGTCATCCGCATTATTTTGTTCACGTATCTATCTCTCTGTCCATTTTTCCATTAGAAAATCTCTCTAGGCTTCATCCTAATTCCTTCATTCCTAATTTTCAATGTGCTCTTTTCAAGTGAATATCATTTTCCACTATTTATTCCATATATTCTTACAGTTCTGCTATTTGGAGCTAATCTGTGCCATTAATACTTCATTAATTTAGTGTCCCCAATTAGCTTGTAAGCTAAATACATTGATACTCAAATAAAGTTATTGCTGGATTGATTGATTGAAGATTATCTAATGCTTGCTATTATTATTTCATTGTTCATTATTTGGTTAAGTGGGAAAATGCCGCATAAAGTTGTTCACCTCACCTCACTTTAATTTCATTCTTCTTAGTGTTTATACAAGCATACGTTTGTTTGAGGTTCTGTATCTTCCCTGAAACCTCTCTACCTATTGAGCCTCTCAAACTCTTTACAAGAAATATTATGCAATCAAGACATGTATGCATTTAGAAAATTCAATGATTGAGCTAATGAAGGATGTTGCATTTGTAGTGCTGTTGCATTGATAAGACATCAGATGGTGGTCTAGCTCCATATTGCTTCGCTCTAATGGTAATACAGTTTCTTCAGTGCACAAATCCACCCATTTTACCAAGACTGAATGTGCAAGCGGTAAGGTTGTGAAGAGAATAAATCACTGATACAGTGTACCAAGTCTTTTTTGGTAGCCTCGATAAACTTCATTTTCATGAAACCCTGAAACAACCTCTGGGCCAATATAAGTCAGGGCGGCACATTTAACTCAAAGATTGAGCCCTGAAACAACCTCTGGGCTGATCTAAGTCAGGGTATGGTTAACTCACATATTGAGTATTGAGTCTAGGGTATTTTCAGAAGAGAAACCCCCCCCCCCAAAAAAAAACGAGAGACCAAATAAACTTCTGTGAGATGCTGAGTTCATGAACTAACCAAACCAGAGACTACTCAKTGCTGCACCAACCTAGATATGCAGATGATACCCTTGGGCATAAAATATTCCCATATCAGACCATATGCTTTTCATTCCCATGTTTGAGTTACATCCACATTTAAAATCAAAAAATATATATACTTATTGCAATAAAGTTATTCACCAAAAACCTAGAAAGCTGTGATCGCTGAGAATCATGGGGAAATGTTTTATATCCAACAAATAAAGCTTTTGACACAAACTGCAGCAGTTGAGAATGCTCAGAGGAGATTAACTTGTAACTGGTATAAGATCTCAAGTCCAGCAACAGTTATCAAGCGGTTAAAACATGTAAAATGTATCTATCCATAATCCTTGTCGGTCTCAGCTTTGTAGCTTTTCAGGTGACTAACTTTATTGAAATAAGTGTATATCAAACTGTTTTACTTTAACAGGAAATTACTGGTGATCAACTTAAGTTCAAAACATCAAATACTGCTTCTCTGGGGTTATTATGGTTTAAGCTTTTCAGGTAGGCATATTAATCTTAGGTCAAAAATCATTTGCAATAACAATACATGTATATAGAGATTTCATATACCTTAATTATGAAAAAGCTTACAGCAAAGGCATACCAAGTCATGAAGTTGTTTAGTTGGAGCTTTTTGATTGGTTAAGCAGTAACGTTCTAAACTGCTCTGGCCAATAGAAAGAAAGCAGGATAGACCTGTATTTCATATGCAAAAGGCATTGCTTACTGACTATCATCCATTATCTTTTCTGCACCTTTTCAGATATTACTGTGTAGAGTTTGAAATAGATGAGAATGCYGTGTCTATAAGAGTGAAGCAGCCATTTTGCAGGGAGACCAGGAGATGGGGTCGTAGGAGATTTGCAATAGAAGGTATACAAAAAAACTTAGTACACTTCTAGAGTACACTTACAGTTGTAGGTACACATTTGTTCAAGGGTCTTTCTCTAGGTTTTCTAGTTTCATTGTTTTACATTGCATACCCTACATGCTTATCAATCCTTCTACAATCTTTGAGTTGCCAAACCATGACTTTCGTTGAGGGTTCAATAAAGTTGTTGACTGTTGTTCCCTTCCCTTCCCTTCCCTTCCTTTCCCTTCCCTTCCCTTCCCTTCCTTTCCCTTCCCTTCCCTTCCCTTCCCTTTCTTACCTGTATGTTCATAATGTACAATCATGTAGCAATGTTCCTTATAGTTTAACATTAATTTATACCTGTATCATATTTTTTTACTTGTATTACACTGGTTTACAATATCATTTCAAATATAACTGAAATAATTTTTCTTAGATCCATACATGACAGGTCACAATGTATCAACTGTATCCAGCGATAAAGGTATGTCGTATACAAAATACAGTCCACCTTCCCCTCCCCTCTCAACCATCTCACCAGCTCCGAACCACCCTTCTTGTAGGTTATATTAATGCATCCTCAATTTGCATAATAATACCCTGTTTTCCTTGTTCCAGTTTTTGACTATATTATACATTGTATGCATACATCATTTGTGTACTTTGGAACACCTCAAAAAGGAATCGAAAAAGGTGAGCAAGGAGACTATCATCACAAATATTTTGATTTTTTTTTTATTTGTTTGCACCTTGATTCTTCAATCACAATTCATGTACTTCTACAGAAGCAAATAATAGATCCGTAAGCGAACCTATTTCTGCCTCACAACAAAGACGTTCAAGACAAGACAGTGATGAAGTTGAAGTTTATGAGGAAGTATCAGATGAAGATAGCCAAAATGGCAAACCTGGAGCTAGAAAAATAAGCTCTGAAAGAAAAGTACAGGAATCAAATGATGACGACATATTCCAGATGGATGACTTGGAAGATGGCGAGGGCGTGGCTGTTGGGGGTGAAGGAGGGGCTACCAAAACCCCAAGCAAGGAAAAAGAAATAACTACTTTGGAATATAAGATGAAAAACTTGAATGTGGTAGGTCAAAGAGACGCGTCACGGAATTCAATAACCAAGACAAGTTTGGAAAATCCATCAAAAACATCTCATACACATCTCAACAATGAATCATCCAATAACATGGGAATCACCAAAGCAGGAACCAAAAACCAAATGCAAAAGCAAATCATTTATGGGATCAAGTCTGAGGTCTTGTCCGGAGGAAGGAGGCCAGAAGTTCAGTGTCAGGTTTGCAAGAAGGATGGCCATATGTCGAGCCGATGTCCTGATCTTAGGAAACCAACACTAAAGGCCTTGCCACCTCTGAACTCAGGAGTGGTTGACTTGGTTACTAATGTCTGCTCCCGTGCTAAAGGTAAGAGCCATGGAAGATGTAAATATTCTTGTTTACATCTTCAGCAGTTGTTTTCCATTCTCACTCTAGTCATTCACTGAAAAACTAATATGTGAGAGTTCACCAAACCTTAAAATTTTATTAAACTCTCTAACGACCTTTTGGCTGGTCTAAGTCAGGGCATGGCTGACTCACACTGTCATCAAACCTTGAAACAACCCCTTGGCTGATCTAGGTTGGGGCTTGGCTGACTCACATCAAACCCAGAAACAACCTCTGGGCTGATATAGGTCAAGGCACGAACAGATTGAGCACTGAAACAACCTCCTGTCTGATCAAAGTCAGGGCATGGCTAACTTACAGATTGAGCACTGAAACAACCTCCTGTCTGATCAAAATCAGGGCATGGCTAACTTACAGATGAAATTGGAATTTGGCGAAAACCAGAAACCAATTGGACGAAAACCAGAAACCTGGAGAAAACCCCTTGAAGCAAGCTAAGGGAGAGACCTCTACTTATATGTAATGGAATCAAACCTGTGACCCCAGAGGTTTGAGCGGAGTGCACCTCTGCGACACGATCCAAAGGTTTAGTTCAAAACGTAAAGCTAAAATGAACTTGAAACTTGACGGGAGACTCCTGTGGCATGGCATGGCATGAAACATCCTTTGTGTGAGATTCTAAAAAAATATTTTGCTATTTGCAGATTTGATCGCGTTTTTACCAGAAGAAAGAAAGTTCAGAGAATCAGTATTGTGGAACCTTGAGGAATACATCCAAGAGGTCTTTCCAGGTAACGATACAATATGGAGTAGCCTGTGTAGCGGTCCAAAACGAATAGGGAATGGGGGCAAGAGGGGAAGGGGGCTGTCCACACCCCCACTGGTCTGCTATGCAGTCTATATATGGAGTTACAAATTTAGAGAATGCTAAGATTATTTTTGTTTGTTTTATGTCAGATGCCCAGTTGCACCTTTTTGGTTCATCCATGAACGGGTTTGGTTTTAAAGACAGTGACTTGGACATCTGTATGACACTAGAAGGGAAATACAAAGAAGAGGTGGACTGTATCAATGTCATAAACCAACTAGCCAAGAAACTAAAACAGCACAGAGACTGCAGTAACGTTATTGCCATAACCACGGCAAAGGTAATGACGTTGAAGTACAGTTGTAGACATGGCAGCCATTTTGGTGGTATTAACGATGGAAGCTAAAGCCCCGTTTACACTAGCGATTTTTGCTGCGTTTTTTTTTTTTGCGAAATTGTCCATAATAAATAAAGGTAAAGAATTTACTTGTAAAGATTTTTTCAGGATACCAAGATTTTCCTAGACGAATGTCTCTTTTGAAGGATGAAACAAAAGATTTCATATTTCTGAAAATTGCCACAAAAATCGCAGCAACAATCGCCAGCGTAAACGGGGCTTAATGAGAAGTCTTTAGTTAAAAACCACCAACATGGCCGCGATGACGTAACATACAAAGGAAGTATATAAAATAATAAGAATTTTAAAACAAGCTTTTTTGTCTGTTCTTTAGGTACCCATCGTGAAGTTCTACCTTCGCAGTGTTAAGCGAGAGGCTGATATCAGTCTATACAACGTACTGGCGCTTGAGAATACTAAATTGCTTGCCACATATGCACAACTGGACGAAAGAGTCGCCATACTGGGATATACTCTCAAGCTATTCGCTAAGGTATTTGGTTAGACATGTATATTGTTGTTATTGACTTCCAGTGGATCTGACATAGTGATGTAGAAAAGACGTCACTGCAATACTGAGGTGTAATGAAGCCTGCGTTAGATGAACAGCAAAAAATAAAAACTTACCCACCATTAAAATGAAAAAAATAAAACTCATTAATTATTGTGTCACTTAATTTATCAACGTTTTATTTTCATTTGGTGACCTGAAAATTCTTATCTTCTAGAGGAAAAGCTACACTTCAGTTTTTCCATTTTTCTCGATTCTGATTAGCTGATCGATAGAAGATCAACTGGTTCCTACTAGGCTTGTTTGAGAACGTCATTAATCAGGCGCTCAGTGATTCGCTAAAATATGTCGTTACAATACCCTCAGGAAGCCCAATTAAAATAAAAGCGATAGACGAAAATAGAATCGTATTTTCTAATATGGCACTATAATTAGATGAAATACATAGGAAGACAAATATACCAGAATGTATATTGTATCTAAGGGCCCTGACAGCAAACGGCCCAACAATTGACCAAACATTCATTCGTTTTTTATGTTGGATGAATGGTTCGTTTGTCATGCGGATTTTTAACGACACGAAGTGCCACATTCTGCCATCACATGTTTGGTCAAATGTTTGGGACCATTTGTCATGGTCTGACAACAATGTTGGGATTCCATTTTTGATGTTGGATTAATGTTGGGCTCGTTTGTCACGGCGTTTTGGTTTTGTTTTTGTTTTGTTTTTTCACAACAACGTCCCAACAAACTACTAAATTCTAATTCGATCCTAGGAGATATTCACGATAGGGCTAACCTCAATAGAGAGTTTTAGATTGACTTTTTTCTCCCCGCAAACGGCAAACGTGAGCACGTTTTCATTGTTTTCCTGTATTTTACTTTACCTTTTACAAACCTTCTCACCAAGCGCAAATACTCTTTTGTTTTTCTACTACTTGGACTTTTTTGCGATTCTTTTTCAGTCATTTAAAAGAATTTTTTACTGGTCAACTGACGTTTCACGTTTGCCGTGAACGTAAATCTAAAACTCTCTAATATCTCCTTTCGCACTCACTGATACGAATAAATTATTGTTTTTTTCTTTCTTAGAACATTCAAACAACAAACGTTTGCTAAATGTTTGGTCAAATGTTTGGGACCGTTTGTCAGGGCCCTTACATTTATGTTCAATTCGTATAAATGAAAAAATATATATTTATTTTATTTACTCTAACCTTTAGGTGTGTGATATCGGCGACGCTTCTAAAGGAAGTCTCTCATCATACGCGTACATACTCATGCTATTACACTTTCTACAAAAACGAGATCCACCTGTCATACCGGTTTTACAGGAACTTTATGCGGGGGATACCCAGCCACGTAACATGATTGAAGGCTGGAACTGCTGGTTTTATAATGACCTACAAAACTTGGTAAGAAAAGACTTTTTCATTTGACCACTGTATTTATTATAGTCTGACGCGTGTTACCTAAATTCACCTTCTTAAAACGTTGGTCCCATCCCTTCTATCCTCTCCCTTCTTTTCCCATTTCATCTGCTATTTATTCGTCAGTGTTGTGTTTGGCCCAGTTAATGATCCAGGCTTGATTTCCAAGACAGCAAAAGTTTGTATACGAGGCATAATACTGATTACTTAAGTGGAAAAAGACTGGGTTGAGCAGGTATTGCAGTTCATTGTGGGACTGTTTAAGGGAACAAAATGCACGCCATCTGGGAGAAAATGAAATGCTAATCGCTACATCCTTGACCAATGTTTTTGTTTTATTTTGCAGTCCAAGGTTTGGAAATCCAACATACGAAACACGGAGAGTGTGGGGAGTCTGTGGATAGGTTTTTTGCGGTACTTCACAGAAACATTTGACTGGGAACATGAAGTCGTTTGCTGTAGAAGAAGCAAAAAACTTACAAAGTTCGAGAGGATGTGGACGCGACATATTTTCGCTATCGAAGGTTTGTTTGCTAGCTTGTCTGTTTGTTTGTCTGT